CGACCTTGCTTGAATGCCACCAATATTTCAGGTGAGCGTTATACCAATGTATCCATGTGCTGACCTTCAAAGCATAAAATGGACACTATAGTCACCTGAACAACTTTAGCTTAATGAAGCAGTTTTGGTGTATAGAATATGCCCCTGCAGCCTCACTGCTAAATCCTCTGCCATTTAGGAGTTAAATCCCTTTGTTTATGAACCCTAGTCACACCTCCCTGCATGTGACTTGCACAGCCTTCCATAAACACTTCCTGTAAAGAGAGCCCTATTTAGGCTTTCTTTATTGCAAGTTCTGTTTAATTAAGATTTTCTTATCTCCTGCTATGTTAATAGCTTGCTAGACCCTGCAAGAGCCTCCTGTATGTGATTAAAGTTCAATTTAGAGATTGAGCTACAATTAGAGATACAATTTAAAGTAAATTACATCTGTTTGAAAGTGAAACCATTTTTATTTCCATGCAAGCTTTGTCAATCATAGCCAGGGGAGGTGTGGCTAGGGCTGCATAAACAGAAACAAAGTGATTTAACTCCTAAATGACAGTGAATGGAGCAGTGAAATTGCAGGGGAATGATCTATAAACTAAAACTGCTTTATGTAGCTAAAGTAATTTAGACCACTATAGTGTTCCTTTAAAACCATTTTTAAGAAGTTTACAACTAAACCAACCTAGGCAGCTTTATCGGTGAACGGACCTCATTGCTGAATAAGACCAGCTGGTATCAGAAGGGTAGAATTTATTTTGTTTTGTTTTTTTTTGTTTTTTAAAAAGCAGACCACGACTGACAAAGAAATTCAAGGAATAAGTGACAATTCAGACTTATCCACATCTGTTATTAATGGGCTCTGAACAGCATTCTCAGACAGCGCAAGGTAGCAAGGAGGAAGAACAAGCTCTTGCTGAATCATGAACAAATGAATCATGTGAGATTTACAGGTAGGTAACTCATTGAAAATATCAGCATTTGAGGAGAACAAAACACAATGATATAGATTTATTTAGATCAGCATATCCTGACACCAAGTGTTGACAGTGGCACACTGCACCATTCAATATTGCACATAAATTATTTAACCAGGAAAGTTACATTCAGATTACTCTGGTTTTCATGTGAATCCAGTGCCTGCCCAGTTCTACAAATCCTGCATATTGTTTGCCTCAATGAGTTGAGCACCTCAGCCTTCGCCTTACAATGCAGCACAAGGTACATTCTACAACTATGCAAATTGCTTTAAAGCTGGGTTTTAACTTAAGTTAGTTGCTGTGAACCGACTCCAACGAATAAAGCAAAAAAATAAACCAATCCAGGTATTTTCTTCAGAGTATTCTAGAAATACTGATTATGACCACATTTTGCTCAGTTATTACATTAACACTTCCATGCATTGATCAGTCTTGGGAAACAGCAAAGATAAGGTAGTAGCATGGATGTAGTCACAAAGCCAGTATTTCAGACACAACAAAAGGACATTTCAATGACACCAGAATATGGCGTAGAGCATTTACTTCAATAAGAAACACAGCAATCACACTTGTCGATTAATTCACAGGGCCAGCGTCTCATTCTCTCAAACAAAAATGGCCGTAATTGACTTGAGAATAAGAAAAATATTCAATGGTTGCCACATTCATGTGTCTTCCCAAAAAATATAGGTGGAAGAAGATGAAAGGATAAGAGAAGCAACACCAATCTCCAGCTATGACATTACGCTGTAATAAGATCCATCTGACCACACATTGCCAAAAAAAAGAGGGGGGGTGGGGCTCTTTAGTGTTGCTTTGTGTCTTTGATTTGTATAAAGTGGAATAAATACCGGGGCTTAAGCGCCCTATCCATGGACAGTTCAAGGTCCACCAAGATTCACTTTTACAAAAACAAACCAATCACTATATGCTCTAAGACACGAGAATGACCCTTTAAAGAAAAAAAAGTGTTCCCTTAAGACACTTCGTAACAATAAAAAAAGTAACTAGTATAAACCGAAAAGGGAAAAAACATGTAAATGTCACCAAAAGAGAATTTACACAACTTGTAAAGAAATAAAAGCAATGTTTCAATATGTATCTCAAGAAAATATGGTGCAGTATAATCAGCACAGGGATAGGGGTGGGGATGGTAGAGAACTTGCTGAATGGATAGAAAATAAGGCATATCTCCCTCTCAAATAGTGTGAGAAAAATTAATGAATAATGATCTTCAGACAGTAGTCTTCTTGATCACTCAAACATAGAAAAATAGAGAAAAGGAAATAGTACAGACGGTATAAAACAAACCAATTTATTAAACACTATTGCACCTACAAGATGTCAAATGACAAACCTCCATATACAGCGTGGTGTCCGAACTTCAGCAGACCGCAAGAAGCTCCACAGGTGAATATGAAGAATGACAAATACAAATGAAACCAAAATTAAAAGTGCTAAGCTTTTCATCCTATATGGACTTCCTCAGGGATCATCTCTCTGAAGATCACTGTCCATTCATTTTTCTAACCCCATTTCAGAGAGAGATATGCCTGATTTAAGATCCATTCAGTGAGTTCTCTAACTTCCCCACCCCTATCCTGATTATACTGCACCATATTTATTTTTTTAATCTAGATACATATTGAAACATTGCTTTAATCATTTATATACAGGTTGTATATATTCTCTCTCTTTTGGTGACATTTACACGTTTATTTCCCACCTTTTTGGTTTTATTCTGGTTAAGATTCACTTTTACTCCTTGTGTTTTCACCTTTCCCGACCAACCATGAGAGCGCCAATTGGAGAGAGGGTGCTATGGACTATGAAGAAGAATTGCTCACTATGAGCCAGGGGGAGCCCCCATTCATTTGACCAAAGGAACTGATATTTGACAGGCCAAGACCACTTTCACTCTGGAACTATTTTGGGCTTTGCCCATGTGTGCGGCCAGTCAAAACTTTCACTGGTGGCTATTGGACAATTTCGTATGGATCAGGGCGCTATTTAGACAACTTAAGCAGTCAGACACGAGCTCTCCGAGGATGTAGGACATGTGGGGTTATGTGTTTTTTTACTGTATTTTGGTGTGTTTTTATATTTTACATGTTGTATCCGAGAGATAATTAGTTTAGCGGGCAGCAACTCAATTATCTCCCAGACGCCTGGGTAGGTACTGTATAAACTGAATGAAGACCCCCATGCTGGGGTTTGTGCATAAAAGGCTGCGTTCGGCTCAATAGAAACCGTTATACTCCCAAAACTGTGTGTCGTTTAGCTGTACTATAGTCACTAACCAGCATTCTGATGCAGCTCAATAGGATTTCGGCAGAGATATTCGGTCTCAGGATTGCTGATGAGGTAGCTCAGTTGGCAAATTTCCTGAATACAGAGCCTATTTAAAAACTACATGTTTGAATCCCGGCAGGGATGAGAACTATCAGTTAGGTGATAAGATCTATTATTCAGCTGCCAATTCGGTTAGTCCCAAGAGCGTGCGCTGAAAAGAGCTTTAAGTCTAACTGGGAGAAAGGTGCTTTATAAATACTAGATAACATTGCAGCTCTGCTAGAACATTCTCCTCCAAAAGTCTGAGAATATGAGTTTAGAAAATATATTTGGCTGATCAAGTGATGCTTGTTTATAGCAAGGGTTCTTCATTCTCTACCTCAATATTTTATTATGGCAGATTTTTTTTGTTTTTAAATAGTGTGCTAAAAAGATGATTATACCATCCAATGTAGATGATTGTCAGTGTAATGTTTGTTCTTTCAGGCTAAATGTCACAATGGCTGCTTAATCGTAAGAGTTGCATGTTAATTATGTACTAATATTTGCTAACCAACTTGTTTCTTTTGGTGCTATTTTAAATAACCGTTCTCTTTAAATGGTAAAGCAAATAAAAAGTGTCTCCAACCCCACCCAATTATTTTTTTTTTACAAATTTAAGGAGGATATGACAAAGAGGCTATTCTGGAACAAAAGTGGTCTAAAATAATACGGAAGCTCTAGTCTTTAAAAAAGATTAAGAAATTCTATTTTTTCTACTTCAAAATCCAGGCAGGACTACATACAGTAGAAGTGCAGAAGCAGCAAATATTCAAGAATGTGTGTGTATAAACTGGAAAACCTCAGTCAAACCACCTTAGAATGATTGGGAAAGAAAACCGTTCTATAAAACCGTACTGTCAGAAACTGGTTTTAACCATCATAAAGAGCTAAATGAGTTCTGGAAACAAACTCCGACCATACTGACCAAGCCGTGAAGCATGGATGGTTCTATTTGAAACAGATGCTGCTCTGGTCTCTCCAGTACCATGAGCCAACAGGCTGCTTCTGTCAAGAGCTGGCTCAAAAAAAAACAAAAAAAAAAACATGCATAATCAGTTGGTGTAAAAGCCACAGCCATGATTTTAAGGTAGAGCAATTTTTTAAGGTACACCCTATAGGGAAGATGCAATGGGTGAGGTTCTAGACATCTGTCCATGACAAGTGTACACCTAAAGGGTAACAAGGAACATAGGATAGCAGGGACAGGTTGGTTTTTCATATTCTAATGGTTTAAACATAGTGTGGAATAAAGAGCAGTTACTTCATATATCTATGGTTTTGAGAAATTACCATAAACCATTTTAAAGGTTACAGTTGTCCAAATTAGCTATCAATGTTCATCTACACTACAGGCTGGTGAAACAATTCACATTGTGATTACGTGGCTGTTTAGTTCAGTATCTGCCCACACAGATGCAGTCCTGCAAACATTAGCTTAGGTAATTTTACACGACAAAACAGCATTTAAGACATTGCAGCCAGCAGTAAACTTGGTGTATGATCCACAATGTGATATGGTGGTTCAGGATTACAAAGATATCAAATCGTTTTCAGAAGCATGGGTAGTGTGAAACTTAAGCAAGTTGTTAATCCACCCAAACCCGCAAAGAATAAACAAGCATGCCGCAAATTCAGGGAGCCATATTAATTTGTACAGGCAATAAATACATAGATATGAATGAACAGACCATATTTGGCGAAGCATTAAAGCGGCACTGTCATGCCGAACTTACCTTTCCTCAATCTCTTCCTCTTCTCCCCCTCTCTCAGGATCTGTTATTCTTTTCTTCCTGTCTTCTTTAGTTTTCTTTAAAATCATAAGACAAAGTAGGAACTCTTTGCCTTATGGAGGATTCCTCCGCTTGACCAGCTCTGACCAGCGGAGGAGCAAAGTGTGCTTCATTTCCGCTGGTCAGAGCAATTTTCCCATGATCCCTAGCTTCCCTCTGTGTTCCCACAATGCTTCCTGTCACTTTACACTAAACTGCCGAATTGCGTTCTAACTGAATGACAACAGTCTGTTCGTTTCTTTTAGAACGCAATTCGGCACTTTATTCGGATCAGAATTTCATTCTAATGAATGAAACTCTGATCCTATTCATTGCTGTGGCTGCATCTTGCAGCCGTTTAGTAGATAACTCCCTAATTCCCACGGTATCAGGGAGCTATCTACTAAAAGGCTGAAAGACCTAAATTGGTCTTTCAGCCAAATTTACTAATACTAAGTAAAGATTACTTAGTATTAGTAACTTAAATGCCCCTACTCGCTATACCGCGAGTAGGGGCATGTGTAGTAAGCAGCGTATAGCTGCTCACTGTAAAAAAACAAACAAAAAACTAATAACCCCCCCACTCCCCCCATGCCCGTGGGGGCCCTAAATAAAGATGGGGGGGAACCTGGCCCCTGGCCCCCACCCCTGAGCGGTGGGTGGGGGCCCTAAATAAAGATATGGGGGGGGAACTTCTGTCCCCCCCCTGGCCCCCACCCCTGCGCGGTGGGTGGGGGCCCTTGTAAAACAATAAGGGGGGGGGACCTACTGTCCTCCCCCCCGGCCCCCACCCCTGAGCGGTGGGTGGGGGCCCCAGTAAAACAATAAGGGGGGGGACCTACTGTCCTCCCCTCCGGCCCCCACCCCTGCGCGGTGGGTGGGGGCCCTAATAAAACAATAGGGGGGTGACCTACTGTCCTCCTCCCTGGCCCCCACCCCTGCGCGGTGGGTGGGGGCCCTAATAAAACAATAAGGGGGGGGACCTACTGTCCTCCCTCCCTGGCCCCCACTCCTGAGCGGTGGGTGGGGGCCCCAGTAAAACAATAAGGGGGGGACCTACTGTCCTCCCCCCCTGGCCCCCACCCCTGAGCGGTGGGTGGGGGCCCTAAATGAAACACCCCCACCCCCCAATCAAGGTGACTAGGGGTCCCAAGCCCCTAGTCACCACCCCCCCCCACCCAAAAAAACTATCCCCTACCTACCCCCCTCACCCTACAAATAGTGAGGGGGGGAATAAAATAACTAACCTGTAAAAAAAAAAAAAATTAAACTTACCATTTGACGTCTTCTTTTTTCTAAAATCTTCTTTCTTCAGCCCCCAAAAAGGCCAAATAAAAATCCATTACACCCGTCGCACTTTAAAAAATAAAATAAAAAAAAACCGCGCAGGGGTGGGGGCCGGGGGGGAGGACAGTAGGTCCCCCCCCTTATTGTTTTATTGTGGCCCCCACCCACCGCTCAGGGGTGGGGGCCAGAGGGGGAGGACAGTAGGTCCCCCCCCTTATTGTTTTACTAGGGCCCCCACCCACCGCGCAGGGGTGGGGGCCGGGGGGGGAGGACAGTAGGTCCCCCCCTTATTGTTTTATTAGGGCCCCCACCCACCCACCGCGCAGGGGTGGGGGCCAGGGGGGGGCCAGTAGGTTCCCCCCCATCTTTATTTAGGGCCCCCACGGGCATGGGGGGAGTGGGGGGGGTTATTAGTTTTTTGTTTGTTTTTTTACAGTGAGCAGCTATACGCTGCTCACTGCTTACTACACATGCCCCTACTCGCGGTATAGCGAGTAGGGGCATTTAAGTTACTAATACTAAGTAATCTTTACTTAGTATTAGTAAATTTGGCTGAAAGACCAATTTAGGTCTTTCAGCCTTTTAGTAGATAACTCCCTGATACCGTGGGAATTAGGGAGTTATCTACTAAGCGGCTGCAAGATGCAGCCACAGCAATGAATAGGATCAGAGTTTCATTAATTAGAATGAAATTCCGATCCGAATAAAGTGCCGAATTGCGTTCTAAAAGAAACGAACAGACTGTTCTCATTCAGTTAGAACGCAATTCGGCAGTTTTGTGTAAAGTGACAGGAAGCATTGTGGGAACACAGAGGAAAGGTAAGGATCATGGGAAAATTGCTCTGACCAGCGGAAATGAAGCACACTTTGCTCCTCCGCTGGTCAGAGCTGGTCAAGCGGAGGAATCCTCCATAAGGCAAAGAGTCCCTACTTTGTCTTATGATTTTAAAGAAAACTAAAGAAGAAAAGAATAACAGATCCCGAGAGAGGGGGAGAAGAGGAAGAGATTGAGGAAAGGTAAGTTCGGCATGACAGTGCCGCTTTAATGTAACAAACAGCCACACCATTACTCCAGCAAAAAAAAGCTTTGCGAATACCGATAATTAATCTACACCACAGCTTGATTTTCTCAAAAAAAATAAAAAAAAAGCTCAGAGTAAAGTAAAAATAAATAGAAAACAGTTTTAAAAAAAGGACAAGAAAGATTTTTTTTTCACAATGGCATCAAGCAGAATGAGGCTAAAAGCATCACAAAGAAAGATAAATCTAATGATTCAAAAGAGACTGAGTAACTCACAAGGACATATCCTACAAGAGGCATGTAACAGCATTAATCTATAGTAATGGGAGGAATGACTCCAGACCATTTAAAAACATGTCTAGATGAACAACTTGAGAAAATGAAATCACGTATAAAATCACTTAAGGAAGTCATGAAAAAAGATTTAGGAAAATTAGCAGATTCCTTGAAAAGCACAGAAGAAAGGTTAGAGTGCCTGTTTCACCAAAACAAAGATATGGGAGACAGAATTAGCACTCTTGAAAATGCAATGAAATTAAAACTAAGTGAATATGGGAATAGGTCTCGTTGAACCAATCTGAAATTAAGAGGTGTTCTAGAACACATAACAGTACTTGGAAAAATACCTAGAAGAAATTTTTACCTTTTTAGGCCTGCATCCAGATCTGAATATGAATTAGATAGAAAGATTTTCACAGAATATACAAGCTAGCAAATATGGCAGCATCTCTCCCAAGAGACATGTTTTCATGTTTTCATTAAAGGACCACTATAGGCACCCAGACCAATTCATCTCAATGAGGACACGCTGGACGTCCATAGGAAAGTAATGAGTAATGCTTTCCTATGGGCAGTTTGCATGCACGCGTGGCTCTGGCCGCATATGCGCATTCGGAACTGACGTCGGCAAGGGGAGGAGAGGTCACCAGTGCCAAGGGAGCCCGGCGCTGGATTAATGTTTTCTTGGCACTATAGTGCTCCTTTAATTTTGCTTTAAAGAGCAAATAAGTCATGAGAGAAATAGACACAAAAGGCTCTAAATATGAGAATATTCAAATATTTTTAGACCTTTCAACTTATACAAGAACATAGAGGAAGCTATGTGTTCTCTTTATTACAATATTAAGGAATAATGCTATCAGATACAAGTGGTTATATCCAGTGGGAACTGCTGTTCTGTTTGAGGGGAAGAGAGAAACATTCTTGAATATTCAAGACTTAAAGGAATGGAGGCAAGAGAAGAGCTTAATGAAGAAGATTTGAAAGGAGACTGGAGAGAGATAAAGAGAGAAAAAATTAAAGGAGACTTTTTTTCTTTTTTTTTCTCACATACTATAAGAAAAGTTATAAAAGTTATAAATTCCATGATGAGAGGATTATGGGTAACATGAATTGAGATGGGTACCATGAATAGGCATGTGTTTAGTTAGAGCATCACCACTAGAAATTATAAATATGGCACATGTGGAGCATTTTGTTTATCACGAGCAATGATGTTATAAATTAACATAAATAAATGGACACTGTTGTCTTGGAGAAAGTCACAACAATATTGATAACTGTGAAGAAAACTAAATACTCTGGTTTACAAAGTAATTTAAAAGTAATAAATCCACTGAACACTGACCCCCCCACTGGCTCATTAAGTTAAAAGAAAACCACAGGAATTAGTGCTGTCCCTGTGTGGCCACCGTTCGTGTAACAACACGTGCTGGAGAAATGTTGCACGAAAAGAGGCAGCGGGATTTGGTCAAAACTCGACTTCACGAACACTGGTCAACTTCACGAACGCCTGCTTCTTTTCGCAGGCAAACCAGGAGAGCGCTGTTCGGTAGGTTTGTTCGGACAAACCCAGTGAACAAACGCTACCAATGAGCCAGGGGAACCATTCGTGGTTTTGTTCAGTTTGGTATTCACGAAATTGACCAGAAGGTCAAAACTTTACCCCAGGGGCGATTTGTCTATGTCCGTGGGATCTGAACGCTATTTGGACAAGTTGGGTGCTCAGATCCAGGTTGTGTTGTATTTTATTCTGGCGAACGTATGATTCAGAACCCGAACTGTGAGCTATAACCACTAAGTACCTAGGCAGTTGGGAGGAACCGAACGAACAGGTAACTGAAATACCAGCGTTCGTTACAATAACAATATGGAAATATATGGTACTCCACAAGTATTTACACAATATGAATAGCAATAGGAAAGCACATGAAATGATGACTTTGAGTATATTTAAGTGTGAAATTATATAAAATTAGTGTTCTAGAGATTTTGTTTTTGTCTATAATAATAATGTCAATAGATCTCCAGCTATGATGATTTTGTATATTTGAAATAGACAAGATATTTATTAATTTATTAATCATTATTAGCTTTAAAGGGACACTATAGTCACCAGAACAACTACAGCTTTATGTATTTGTTCTGGTGGGTATAGTCAGTCACTGCAGGCTTCTTCATGTAAATTCTGCATTTAGAAACAAAAGGAAGTGTTGACATTGCTGCCTAGGAACATCTCCAGTGGTCACACTTCAGATGGTCACTAGAGGTGCTTTCTGGGTCAGTGTGCAGCACTACTGTTCAGAGACTCCACACTCTACATGGAGATGCTGAATGCTCCCCATAGAGATGCATTGACTTTTTGTTACTATTTTGTTTGTAGGGAAGGGATGGGCTGTTGTCAATGAGGGGCTCGTCGCTGGGTCAAAATGGAAAATAAATTTGTCACTTTTATTATTAGCAAAATCTGTCAATTCTCAAGGCATTAATTCATCTCAAAAAGAAGCATTTTTACATAAAAAACAGGACCGTATAAGTGCAATACAGGAGACTCATTGGAAGTCTGGTGAGGTCAGGAGATTTGAATAAAAAAAATTCCCCATGTGTTTGCTGCATCTCTAGATGGAAAAAAAAGAAAGGTGTAGCAATTATTTTTTTC